CTTCTCCGAGACCACCAACGACGACATCCTGGAGGTGGTCAGAGATCCTGAAGTGACTGCCGACGAGATGTTGGAAGAAGATCACGTCAGTGAAGAGGAGGAAGAAGGTGCGTCATTCTCCGAAGAACACAGTTTAACTCATAGTGATATTAAGGGTACCATGGAGTGTGCAGAGAAAATGAAGTCCTTCCTTTCCCGCGACAATGACGATGACCGCTATGAAGTCTTCCATACCCGGCTGGTGCAGGCTATGGAGCCGTACATCACGGTGTATCACGACAACATCAACGCCAGCCGTCAAAAAAGCATAACCGAGTTCTTCGCCCGCAACCCACCACAGCCAGCCCAAGCCAGTGATAGTGACAGTGAAGATGACTTTGAGGGATTTGTCAGGGAAGCCCTGACAACTGTAAGTGACAGTGATGGTGATTCACCTAGTAATGGTGATTCACCTGAGGGCCAGTAATCTGCCCTCTGCCTCGGAACCAGCCTCCATCCCCGTATGCCGACCCATCTCTTCTACTACCGTAAGTGTTCCACCTAACTTTTAGTTTTTCTAACCTAACCTTTATTTTTCCTATGTTAACCTTTATTTTTCCTAACCTAACCTCTTCTATATTACTTGTTTTTTCATACCATCATAAAGTTAAGATAAAATTTTTACTACAACATAGTTGTGTGTCGTCAAAAAGTGGAGTTTGGGGGTCGGCCCGGACTCTATTTCAATTAATCCCATATGTTATGTTATTCACTTTACGCGTTTCTCACTTTACGCGGGACCCTGCGGGTTACATTAACCGCGTAAAGTGAGGGTTAACTGTATTCTCTTTTTATTTACTTTACAAGTGAGTTTCACACGTTAATTTTTACTCCCTTGAGTGTGGAAATAATCAGAGATCAGCAATGAACAGTTATTATTCCTTAAAATTACAGAATACAGGTAAGATCAATTAAACACCAAGGTTAGGTGAATGACGTTTTGCACGTCTTCCTGTCCGCCAATCAGTTATCTTGTTACAAACGGCTCTAGGCCTCATTTACAAAGTTCGAGTGAATATACTTTTTTACGGTAATCAATACACTACAGTAGAACGTCGATTTAAAATGATTCAATTTAAGATTAGTAATTTAAAGCAACACTGATAATTAAGGACAATGTTTTAATTTAAAGCAAATCTTTCCTATTTTGCACGAGTCAATCTGGCGCATCATATTTTAAAATCCGCACTTAATGTTTCTCTGGGCACGCTATACTGTCCCAAGGGCAAAGCTTTACTGTCCATGTACTCAAAATAATGTACTAAATGATTACTAAAATTTTTGTCTAGTGCAAACTATAGCATGTTTACATTCAAATTAATCACTATCTTATAAGAATTCCAGCAATGCAAATTATCTTCTCCCTGGTCACTTCTGTGACATTTTATATAAAAAAAAAAAAAAAAAAAAAAAAATCTAAATGACAAAAACAAACAAATAAATTCTTCACGAGACCTTCGCCCCAACTGTCAAACATGTCACTGTCACCCCCATCTTCCCAGCCAGGGTTGGGTGGTTATACGCTTACAGTTTTTATCTTATATAATATCTCAGACTAAAGTTAGGAGAATATAATTTGCATTACTGGAATCCTTGCAAGACAGCAAATAATTTGAATATAAACGCATTATATATTTTGTACAAGCGATAAAAATTTTAGCCCTATGTAATATAATGAATTAGAACTAAAATTTGTATGTCTAATGCGAACTATAGCATGTTTATATTCAAACTAATCACTATCTTATAAGAATTCCAGCAATGTTAATTACATTCTCCCATGTTAGTTCAGTGACATTACATAAGAGAAAAACTTAAAAGTCTCTCTTGAGGACAGATAAATAAATAAGCACCAGACCTTGGCATCAACGGTCAAACATATCACCTTGTAGTGGATCTCTCCCCTACAAACTACATCTGCATTCCAATGCGACAGTATCCTAGCAACCAAACGAGCGGCCCAGCGTCACCAGCTGCTACCGTATCCTAGCAACACGCAGAGGGGGGGGGGATCGCCATCTGCTACGTCTTCCCTAGCAACAGAGTCAAGAAACCGGTGAGTTCCCACGGGTTTACTTCCGGCTGCCGTGTATATAAGCTCTGTCTCTCCATTGAGATTCATTCAGGCCCACGTTCCTGAACACGCAACACCTCCTCCAAGCAAGCTCCTCGCTGTCCAGCCCTCATTCAACCTGGAGGACAGCAACACTCAACATCATCTCTAACTAAGCTCCTGCACAGATACCTCCTCAAGCATGCTACTCACTGAATGTGTCTCTCACCACAAGCTTCTCACCGCACGGCATCCCCAGCACCAGACCGTCTTTCATATAATATATTTTATATAAGAAAACCACCACCTAGAGTTTCCATCAATCCCATCCTGAGTGCTAGGCAACATAATATCACGTTACCCTACAACCTTCCCCCCCTCATCTTCCCAGCCAGTAAACAGACCATTTTGCATCCCATAATTTTAGCTGTGTTTTGTTTATTCTAGGAGATGGGCTGAGGTGCATCTTGGTAGACTTCTATTTAGTGCGAATCCGGCTTAAAGCGACCTCTCTTGGAACGTATCTCGTGTTATATCGACGTTCTACTGTATTAACAATACCACTGTCGCTCCTGAAACCTTCTAGTATTTATTCATATAATTCTCTACCACATAGAGCATATAAGATTTTTGTTGATACAGTAAACCCTCAAAGATTCAGACAAAAAAATTGGGGGTTATGGGCTAAGAAGCCTCCCTAAGAAGCATTCCCAAAACAGGTTGAAGGTAGTTTTAGGCTTAAAGTTTTTATTTTATAAAATGTCAAAGACTAAGTTAGCGGAATATAATTTTTATTGCTGGAATCCTTGTAAGATAGCGAATAATTTGAGTATAAACATCACATAGTTTACAAAAGAGATAAAAATATTATTAGAACAGTTGAGTACAAGTTTTTCAACTCGTACTTTTGGGTAGATATACGTAACTTTCTTCATTTATTTTTACTCATTTACATGCACACACCATCCTAAATACATATTGTGAAAAAAGTAAAAGAAATAATTGTCCTAACAGCAAACATGTACTGAAATGTACTAATACTAATAATTTCTAAAACTTTTATGTCTAGTGTAAACTAGGGGATGTTTGTACTCAAATTAATCACAATCTTAAAAGAATTCCAGCAATAAGTTATATTCTGCAATGTCAATTCAGTGTCATTTTATAAGCAAAATACTTATTACTTAATCTCCCTCTATATAACTGATAAATACACACTTGGTAACTTCCCCACCCACTGTCAAGACCTCACCTCCCCCTGCCCCCTCCTCCCATCCAGGGTGAAGGTAGTTTTAGGCTTAAAAGATTTTATCTTATAAATTGTCACAAACTAGACTTAGAAGAATATAACTTGCATTGCTGGAATCCTTGCAAGATAGTGAATAATTTGAGTGTAAACATCACATAGTTTGCACGATAAAAACTTTAGCTTTAGTCTAGTACATTTGAGCACAAAGTGAGTACAGTAATATGTTACTCAAAATTATGTCTTTTTCACAGGAAAAAGTCTGATAACTAACCCAAGTGGTCAGGATAATATATACTGTATTTTTTTTTTTTTTTTTAGATAATTATTTAAAATTTTTATACATTTAGTACATTCGCCGGAAGATTCGGACAATCAGCTTTTTTGGACAGGTGGTCCCTCCTTTTAGTACGGATCTTCGAGGGTTCACTGTATATTCATTATCTTTATTATTGTAAACCATCACCATCTTAATGTTGTCAGAAGATGGAGATTTCATTATGTTATTCTCCACTCCAACCAACACCCCCCCCCACGCCTCCCTTAAAATCATTTAGGTGCAACATCTGTTGAGTTAAAAAGGCACTTCCTTCTGTTGCTTTGTTGTTCAAACCTCAGATGTTTCGAAGTAAGTCACATTGTGGCTGGGAGTGGGAGAGAACTTTTGTCTGCGACTGTATGTGGCTGGTGTGAGAAGTATGATGTTGTATGGCAGTAAATCATGGGCAGTTAAAGAGAATGACATAAATATACTTATGTGATCTGAAATGAGAATGGAGAAGCGTAATGTGACACTGAAAGACAGGAGGCCTTGTTTAGAATTAACAGGGTGGCTGGGTATTGAGAGTACTGTATTGGTGAAGTTCTGTATGGAGGTAGGCTAAGATTGTCTGGGCAGGTGAAGAGAATTGATAAGACCAATTGGGTCAAAAGGTACAGGAGCCTAAATGTAGAGAGGAGGAGAGCTAGGGGTAGGCCAAGAATGACATGGAAAGAAGTTATAAGAAAAGATATGAGAGTTAGGAACTTGGCAAGAGAGACTGCAGCATGGAGAGCTGCCATCAGGTACCTGTAGCTAAGCCATGGAAGTGTGGAAAATGGCTGTAAAACAAGGATGAAGATGATGATGATATGTGCTGATTAGACAGACAAGTCATTTATAAGACCTCCTGCCTCTAGAGGGCAAATGTTGCACCTGATCTCATTTGAGGCAATGTGTGTGATGAAAAAAGGGTTGATTGCTTTTCCAATTGGAGGTTTCCAAGGACAGCGAATCTCCCAATTGGTAGCCTTTATTATGAGAAGCCATGTAGTGAAAGGCATTTAGATATAATAAGTAAAATCCTTACAAGAATAGTACAAGACTCTTTGCAATGTCAATGCCAAAGCTCACCAAACCCCTCAGACTTTCTGGCTAGTGGATCAACCTACAATTCTCTTGGTGCTTTTAAAATTAAATAATAGTATAGGCCTGTATCTATAAGGTCCCCCACAGTGCATAACAGAAGGTTGTGATAAAAGTAGATTTGGTCATGGAAGAAAGATAAACATACATATTATAACATTTTGTAAAAGTAACATTTATTTATACTAAAAATGTAAAGTTTTAGATGATATTATAGCAAATACTTTAAACTGCTTGCTAGGATACAAATTACTGACCTTAAATAGTTGAGAAACTCCCTGAGAAGTTAGGTCATTTGAAGATGCTGGAGCTCCCATCACAAGGAATTTATCACGCACTAATGCAGATGGTGCTAACTGCTCACTCAATGTAACCCCTATTTCCAATTGCATCTCAGCCTCAAGGATCCCCACTGAGGGACGAACACGGTACTTCTCTGGGGATGTTGTCTTTATCTACAAGATAAAAGGATATAATTAATCAAGAGCTGAAAATATTACACCTTAATAGAAGTCACTAATTTCCTATATTTTTAATAACCTTTGTCCATTCCAAGCTACAAACTGCCATAGACATGCCTGTAACAGCACCCTAGTACTATTTAAAACTGCACTACAGATTCATACACAAGTACAATAATACCCCGGTTAGTGCTCAGGGTACGCTCCTGGATAATAGAACATTATCCAACACAGTGCTCTAAGGGTTCATAAAACCACTGCATATATGGAGAGGCATTCCTGATGATATTTTTTACCCATGAGATATATAGAGTATTGCATGTGAAGGGTAGAAGTACTGTATTAATAAACTCAAATTATTACAGTAAATACATTTACTAGCTAATGAATAACAAATAAACAATATTGTACCTGTATCATGAATAACAGTCGTTTGACGAACAGTAGCGAAGATTCTAGTACAACAAGTAACAATAATAATAATAATTAACGGTTTATTGAAAGAGCATGGCAGCCAGAAGGGTGAAAATATATAATTACATAATTGGGGAATGGGTTTCTTGATTTACAAATGATATACAGGTAACATAAGTGATACAAATATGATAATTAATAATTAGGTGTTGATAATTTTTACAATGGTTAGGACTGGGCTGTTCTTATAGCAATCAGTTAGTGCTTGTATGGGCTGGATGCAGTTGGGCAGGTGTGGCCACGTGGCCAGGACAGTAGCTTGGGGCAATGCAGGTGTGCTCCATCCTTCAGGTTAGGTCAAGTGAAGCCGTGAGGTTAGGTCAGATCCAGCCACACTCAGTATCACACTGGTGTGTTTTTGTGCTTTTCCTTGGAGTGCACTATAGGAACACTGTTTGGTATTCAATCGTTCACTGTGTAATGTCAAAGAGTCACTGTTTGTGTAAATGCCAAAAATATGTTGATGTAACACTCTCACGAACTGCTAGGGACATGTTCCCTATACTGTATTGTAATGAAATAACGGAATTGATAAGTTGTTGCATGTATAGGTAACGGAGACTCGAATACGAAACGTTTTAAGTCTCCTTATGTTTTGTTTTATGTATTAAGGTACTGTTTTATGTATTAAGGTACAAGTGTGAGAGGCAGCGTGTGAGTGAGACTCAGTGCGTGGGTGGGTGGGAGGGAAGCAGGTGGGAGGCAGTGAATATCTTACGGCACTGCCCAGGCTGAAGCAAATCCATCTCTGTATCACTGAATTATGATTAAGGTGGTGATAATAGAGGTAGTAGTGATGATGGTAGTGGTGGAGAGGGAGATTGTAGCAAGTGGTGAGGAGGTGATGCGTCTGTCGGTTTCTTTAGCAACACTGCGCCTGCAGCACTGCCAGACACTATTGAACAGCTGATATCTACCCACAAAATTAAGTGTAAGTGTAAATGAGCAACGTTGTATTCCTTCAACATTACGTTACATAACATTTTAAAATATGGAGTGAGAAAGCAGAAAGGTGTGAGTGATTAGAGAGATGGAGTGGAAAGGATGGCTGCCAAACTGATCTTCAACCTACCAACACACACATTAGTTAGCTATACACAATTATGAAATACAATAAGACCTTCACTTAATACAATATTATATAACAAAGCACTAAACCAGCAACACAAAACAACAGCAGTCGTCGCCCTCACTCTGGATATCGTACTTAGTAAATTCTCGTTTTGGGGGTGTGTAGGTGGTGTTGAGGGTGTGTGTGTGTGATGATGTGATGTGTAGGTGGTGTTGAGGGTGTGTGTGTGTGATGATGTGATGTGTAGGTGGTGTTGAGGGTGTGTGTGTGTGATGATGTGATGTGTAGGTGGTGTTGAGGGTGTGTGTGTGTGTGTGATGATGTGATGTGTGGAGGTGGTGTTGAGGGTGTGTGTGTGTGATGATGTGTGTGGTGGTGTTGAGGGTGTGTGTGTGTGATGTGATGTGTGTGTGTGGGTGGTGTTGAGGGTGTGTGTGTGTGATGATGTGATGTGTAGGTGGTGTTGAGGGTGTGTGTGTGTGATGATGTGATGTGTGTGTGATGTGTGGGTGGTGTTGGGGGGTGTGTGTGTGATTGTGTGGGTGGTGGGGGTGTGTGTGTGTGATGATGTGATGTGTGGGTGGTGTTGAGGGGTGTGTGTGTGTGATGATGTGATGTGTGGGTGGGGTGTGTGTGTGTGATGATGTGATGTGTGTGATGTGTGGGTGGTGTTGAGGGGTGTGTGTGATGTGTGTGATGTGGGTGGTGTTGTTGAGGTGTGTGTGTGTGTGATGATGTGATGTGTTGTGATGTGTGGTGGTGTTGAGGGTGTGTGTGTGATGTGATGTGTGTGTGTGGGTGGTGTTGGGGTGTGTGTGTGATGTGTGTGTGTTTGATGTGGGTGGTGTTGGAGGGTGTGTGTGTGTGATGATGTGATGTGTGTGTGATGATGTGTGTGTGGGTGGTGGGGTGTGTGTGTGTGTGATGATGTGATGTGTGATGTGTGGGTGAGGGGTGTGTGTGTGTGTGATGATGTGATTGGGGTGGGTGTTTGGGGTGTGTGGTGTGATGATGTGAGTGTGTGTGATGTGTGGGTGGTGTTGAGGGGTGTGTGTGATGTGATGTGTGTGTGATGTGTGGTGGTGTTGGTGTGTGTGGTGGTGTGTGGTGTGTGTGTGATGATGTGATGTGTGTGTGTGATGTGTGGGTGGTGTGTGTGTGTGTGTGTGAGGTTGGGGTGTGTGTGTGGGTGTTGGGGTGTGTGTTGTTGGGGTGGGTGTGTGTGGTGGTGTTGAGTGTGTGTGTGTGATGATGTGATGTGTGTGTGATGTGTGGGTGGTGTTGGTGTGTGTGTGTGGTGGGGTGTGTGTGTGTTGTGTGGGAGTTGGGGTGTGTGTGTGTGTGGTGTGTGTGTTGGGGTGTGTGTGTGTGTGTGTGGGTGTTGGGGTGTGTGTGTGGGTGGTGTTGGGGTTGTGTGTGATGTGATGTGTGTGTGATGTGTAGGTGTGAGGGTGTGTGTGTGTGTGATGATGTGTGTGTGTGATGTGTAGGTGGTGTTGGGGTGTGTGTGTGTGTGTGATGTGTGTGTGATGTGGGTGGTGTGGGGGGTGTGTGATGATGTGATGTGTGTGGTGTGTGGGTGTTGAGGGGTGTGTGTGTGATGATGTGATGTGTGATGTGTGGGTGGTGTTGGGGGTGTGTGTGTGTGTGATGAGTGTGTGTGATGTGGGTGGTGTTGAGGGTGTGTGTGTGATGTGTGGGTGGTGTTGAGGGTGTGTGTGTGATGATGTGGGTGGTGGGGGTGTGTGTGTGATGATGTTATGTGTGTGATGTAGGTGGTGTTGAGGGTGTGTGTGTGTGATGATGTGATGTGTGTGTGGGTGGTGTTGAGGGTGTGTGTGTGTGTGATGTGTGTGTGTGATGTGTGTGATGTGTGTGGTGTTGAGGGTGTGTGTGTGTGTGATGTTATGTGTGTGTGATGATGTGTGATGTGTGGGTTGAGGGGTGTGTGTGTGTGTGATGATGTTGTGTGTGTGTGATGATGTGTGATGTGTGGGTGGAGTTGAGGGTGTGTGTGTGTGTGATGATGTTATGTGTGTGTGATGATGTGGTGTGTGGGTGGGTTGAGGGTGTGTGTGTGTGTGATGATGTGATGTGTGTGTGATGTGTAGGTGGTGTTGAGGGTGTGTGTGATGTGTGTGTGATGTGTGGGTGGTGTTGAGGGGTGTGTGTGTGTGTGATGTGTGGGTGGTGTTGGGGTGTGTGTGTGATGATGTGATGTGTGTGTGTGTGTGGGTGGTGTTGGTGTGTGTGTGTGTGTGTGATGATGTGATGTGTGTGTGTGATGTGTGGGTGGTGTTGAGGGTGTGTGATGATGTGATGTGTGTGTGATGTGTAGGTGGTGTGGGGGTGTGTGTGTGTGATGATGTGATGTGTGTGATGTGTGGGTGGGGTGTGTGATGATGTGATGTGTGTGTGGGTGGTTGGGGTTGTGTGTGTGTGTGATGTGATGTGTGTGTGATGTGTGGTGTTGAGGTGTGTGTGTGATGATGTGAGTGTGTGGGTGGTGTTGAGGGTGTGTGTGTGTGTGATGTGGGTGGTGTTGAGGGTGTGTGTGATGTGATGTGTGTGATGTGTGGGTGTTGAGGGTGTGTGTGTGATGATGTGATGTGTGTGATGTGTGGTGGTGTTGGGGGTGTGTGTGTGTGATGATGTGATGTGTGTGTGATGTGTGGGTGGTGTTGGTGTGTGTGTGTGTGATGATGTGATGTGTGTGATGTGTGGGGTGGTGTTGGGGTGTGTGTGATGTGATGTGTGTGTGATGTGGGTGGTGTTGAGGGTGTGTGTGTGTGATGATGTGATGTGTGTGTGTGATGTGTGTTTGTGAGTGTGGGTGGTGTTGGGGTGTGTGTGTGTGATGATGTGATGTGTGTGATGATGTGTAGGTGGTGTTGGGGTGTGTGTGTGTGATGATGTGATGTGTGTGTGATGTGTGGGTGGTGTTGAGGGTGTGTGTGTGTGTGTGATGATGTGATGTGTGTGTGATGTGTGGGTGGTGTTGAGGGTGTGTGTGTGTGTGATGATGTGATGTGTGTGTGATGTGTGGGTGGTGTTGAGGGTGTGTGTGTGTGATGATGTGATGTGTGTGTGTGATGTGTGGGTGGTGTTGAGGGTGTGTGTGTGTGATGATGTGTGTGTGATGTGTAGGTGGTGTTGAGGGTGTGTGTGTGATGATGGTGTGTGTGTGTGATGTGTAGGTGGTGTTGGGGTGTTGTGTGTGATGATGTGATGTGTGTGTGATGTGGGTGGTGTTGGGGTGTGTGTGTGTGTGATGGTGTGTGATGTGTGGGTGGTGTTGAGGGTGTGTGTGTGTGATGTGATGTGTGATGTGTAGGTGGTGTTGGTGTGTGTGTGTGATGATGTTATGTGTGTGATGATGTGTGATGTGTGGGTGGGTTGAGGTGTGTGTGTGTGTGATGATGTGTGTGTGTGTGATGTGATGTAGGTG